TTCTTATTTCTCTTTTTTTAAAGGAGTTAATAATAATGATAAGGTATGTTTATAAAATATCTAATATATATATAAAAAAACATATACATCACTCTCGAGACGGAAACCCTTGACGTGTACGAACGGAGAATAAGTGAAGGAAATTTGGGGTGTTATAATCCTTCCCACCTTGGATTAAATTTTGTCCTCGAAATTGTAGTTCACGAGAAAAGGTGAGGGTAACGCCTCTTCAAGTCCTCTTCCGCATCCCATGTCACGTTTAACCCTCGATGATGCTTCCATTGAACCTTAACCATGACAATTTCTTTATGCCTTAACTCCTTGGTCTTCCTTGCCAAAATGGCTTCCGGCTCTACAACACAACGGTTGTTCTCATCCACATGAATATCCGAAAGTGGTATAACACTTTCTTCTACCGCTAGGCACTTACGAAGGTAACATACATGAAAAGTGTTAGGGATTCCGGCCATTTCTGGTGGTAGTTCTAATTTGTAGGCTTGAAGCCCCACTCTAGCCAATACTTTAAACGGTCCAAGGAAACGGGGACTTAGCTTCCCACGCTTTCCAAAACGGATAATACCTTTCCAAGGGGACACTTTTAGCATTACACGGTCACCCACTCGGAATTCCATAGGTCGATACCTCTTGTCTGCGTAACTCTTTTCGATCCTGCGCCGCCTTTAAGCGCTCCCGAATACACTTCACCTTGTCGGCCGCTTCTTAAACTATTTCAGGGCCGACAATTTGTTTCTCACCCGCTTCAAGCCAACACACATGAGTCCTATATTTTCGTCCATACAATGCTTCGAAAAGTGCCATCCCGATACTAGAATGATAACTATTGTTGTAGGCGAACTCCACAAGAGGTAGGTGAGAATCCCAATTCCCGCCAAAGTCGATAATACACGATCTAAGCTTGTCTTCAAGTGTTTGAATGGTCCATTCACTCTGGCCATCGGTTTGAGGATGGTAAGTTGTGCTCAACTTCACCCTCGTACCCAGTTCTTTTTGCAAGCCGCCCCAGAAATGGGAGGTGAATCGGCTATCTCGATCTGATACTATTGACAAAGGTAAGCCGTGCCTCGAGACTATTTCATCGATGTACAACCTGGCCAGCTTCTCCATGGGTAACGATTCACGCATTGCCAAGAAGTGAGTGCTCTTCTTTAGACGATCAACCACTACCCAAATCGTATCATGACCTCTTAAGGTTTTTGGCAGTTTGGTCACGAAATCCATCGTAATATGCTCCCACTTCCATTCGAGGATTTCCAAGGATTGAAGGCTACCATAAGGTCGTTGGTGCTCTGCTTTCACCTGCAAACAAGTCACGCACCTCTCCACGTAACGAGCCACGTCAAGCTTCATAACGGGCCACCAATATGTCAATTTCAAGTCCCGATACATCTTGGTGCTACCCGGGTGAATGGAGTATTTAGACTTGTGCGCATCTTCCAGTAATAGTTCACGAATGCCTCCAGCCTTGGGTACCCATATACGTTCTTGAAACAACTTTAAGCCATGACCGTCTTCCGTAAGAAGTAAGTGTTGTTTTATCATTACTTCATTCCTGAGATTTCCTTCCAAAAGTGCTTCTGATTATGCCTCTTTGATCTGATCGATCTGGACATTACATCGATCCTAGTGAGCACGGCTTTCGTCCCACTATCGTACTTTTTTCGGCTCAAGACATCCGCCACTACATTAGCCATACCCGGATGGTATAGTAATTCACAATCGTAGTCCTTGAGCAGTTCGAGCCAACGCCGTTGCCTCATGTTTAATTCTTTCTGATCAAAGATGTACTTCAAACTCTTGTGATCGGTGAAAAGCGTGCACTTGGTACTATAAAGGTAATGTCGCCAAAGCTTTAAGGCGAACACCACCGCTACTAGCTCCAAATCGTGCGTGGGATAGTTCTTCTCGTGATCCTTGAGTTGTCTGGAGGCGTATGCTATCACTTTTCCCCTTTGCATCAAGACATAACCCAATCCCATTTTAGAAGCGTCGCTAAAAACTACGAAGTCTTCGGACCCTTCTGGCAAGGAGAGAATCGGGGTTTCACATAATTTCTTTTGGAGTGTTCTAAAAGCATATTATTGCTTTTCTGTCCATATAAACTTCACGTTCTTCTTAGTCAATGCTGTCAAGGAAGAAGCGACCTTGGAGAAATCATGGATAAATCTCCTGTAATAACCCGCCAGACCCAAGAAACTTCGAATCTCTGATGGACTCTTTGGTGGTTCCCAATTCATCATCGCCTCGATCTTGGATGGGTCCACCTTTACTCCGTCTCGAGTGACAACATGACCAAAGAATTAGACCTCATTTAGCCAGAAGTCACACTTGGAGAATTTTGCATACAATTTCTCTTTTTTTAATACTTCGAGAACTTCTCGAAGGTGTTGTTCATGATCCGTCTTGTCCTTGGAATAGACGAGTATGCCGTCAATGAACACTATCACTGACTTATCAAGGAATGGTCGGCACACTCGGTTCATCAAGTCCATGAATACCGCCGGTGCATTCGTCAAACCAAAAGGCATGACCAAGAATTCATAGTGCCCATATCGCGTTCTAAAAGCTGTCTTCGACACATCATCCTCTCTTACTCATACTTGGTGATACCCTGAGCGAAGGTCAATCTTAGAGAAGCAACTTGCTCCCTGCAGTTGGTCAAACAGGTTGTCTATCCTAGGAAGTGGATATTTGTTCTTCACGGTTGCCTTATTGAGCTCTCTGTAGTAATTACACATCCTCATGGTGCCGTCCTTTTTTTTTACAAACAAGACTGGAGCTCCCAGGGCGACGAACTCGGTCTAATAAACCCTTTCTCTAGAAGGTCTTGCAATTGAGACATCAACTCTTGCATTTCGGATGGCGCCAAACGGTAAGGGGCTCTAGCAAATGGAGCAGTTCCCGGAATAAGGTCGATCTGAAACTCCACTTGTCTATCGGGCGGCAATCCGGGTAAGTCTTCAGGGAATACATCGGGAAATTCATTGACCACTTTCACATCGTCATTTTTTCTTTTCTCTAGTTTGGTATCCAATACATACGCAATGAACGAGGAGCATCCCTTAGCTAGACACTTACGTGCCTTCGTCATGGATAAGAGTACTACATTTCCTTTCCTTCCTTCTCCATAAACTAGCACTGCGTCTCCATCCGGCGAAGGGATTTGGATCAACTTTTTAGAGCATAAGATTTCCGCTTGGTTCTCTACCAACCAGTCCATCCCAATTATGACATCGAATCTACCTACAACCATGGGTATGAGGTCTACCCTAAATTCCTTTCCCTCAATTCCCAACACGCAATTCCTAACAATTTCATGCACCAGAACTTGACTACCATTTGCTATCTCTATGATCAATGCATCTTCTAGTGTACTAGGGAGCGTATGCAAATGTTGATGGAATGTAGTGGACACAAAGGAACATGAAGCACCTGAATCAAAAATCATGTGTGCAGGTACAGAGTTAATAAGGAACATACCCGACACTACATCCGTTGATGCCTTAGCTTCTTCCCTCGACATCTGAAAGGCATGACCGGTTGCTTTCGAGGTGCTCTATTTTCTTCCTTGACTCCCACCCGTTTTCAACTTTTGGCAATCATTCTTGAAGTGACCTGGCTCTCCGCATCCAAAACATATGGGTCCCTTGATCGGACATTCATTTCGTGTGTGGCCTGCCTTCCCACACTTAAAGCATTTTGCGAGGGTAGGGTTGGTGACACATGGGCCGTGATGCTTACTGTGGCACTTGGGACACCATCGAGCCTCTTGTCTAGGATAGGCCACACAATTGCTGTTGGAATGGTTAGGCCTCTTGGAAGGCACATATTGACTTTCACACCTTCTCTTTTCACCACTTGTCGCTTTCTCTTCCTTTCCTTTAGCGTAAACCGATTCCATGACTTTTGCCTCATCGATTGCCTCCCTAAGAGTGGAGGCTCTCGAGTTCCTGACTATCACCATCATGTCCGCAGGTAACCCTTTGAGGTAAGCTTTCATATTTTCCTTCTTCGTTGGAGCCATATGCCCTACTAAGTTCAACTTTTCCATGAAAAGTCGTGTGTAGTCTCTTATCGACAAGTTTCCCTTCTTTAGGGTTCGGAACTCTTCTTCAATGCGGTTCATCTCTTGTTCGTTGCAATAATCTTCCAACACCTTTTCCTTGAACGTAGCCCAACTCATCTTGGTTAAATCTGTAACCCCTATGGTTGAAATGACAACGTTCCACCAGGTAAGGGCTGCACCCCTTAGCATTTGAGAGCCAAATCTCACTTTTTTCCCCTCATCACAGTCTCAAGCCCGGAAGGCTTGCTCGATTTCTCGAACCCAATTCATGCATGCCACGGGATCATCTGACCCCACAAACTCCGGTGGCTTGCAACATAAAAACGTCTTGTAGGAGCAAACCCTTCCCACTTGCCTTGCATCAATCGTCGCTAACTCCTGGGTCGGGATTCCATTTCCGGTACCCCCGGATCCTATAATGGTTACGTTCTTGGCAACAGCTTCATGCTTACGGTTATTAGCATCCCTATCCTCCAACAACTTCATAAAGAACTCTTGTTGTTGGGTCATAGCTCTGTTCATAGCGTTCATCATTGTGCCCATCATTCTTGACTCCGGGGTTTCCTCTTCCATTACAGGGTTAGAGGTGGCAAGGTCAACCGGGAGAACATGTTCAACAACACCGCCCAAAATGTTTTTCCTAGGAAGAACCCTTGCGATGGTGGTCCGTGGTGGTTGATTCGTGGTAGATTCAGTTACCGCATGCCCTTCCGATGAGGTATCTCATCTACTCCGGGTATTCACCATTTTAGTCTGCCACATAAGAGGTGAAAGAGAGTTAAAAGTGGAACAGACGGAACTAACATAATACGTACCGACACATTCATAAATCTTTGCAATAACAGTAGGTTCAAGCACGCTTATGTAACAACATATTCAAAATAACATTAGCTAAGTGAAATTTCAAATAGGTTACACATAAGAATCCTCAATACCATCGTCACAATTCATGAACGGTGTACTTTCGTTGATTCTAAAATTATTTTATCTTAAAAGTTTCTACCCATGACCCGTTAATTAACACTTACAAACTCACCTTAAGTCTAGGTGTCTTAATTCTCCACCTAGTTCGCTTAAGCTAGGACTCTGATACCAACTTGTTACACCCTAAAATAAAAAGGAAAAATAGCACGGTAGGAGATAAATTATATCCGACAAAACAAAGCCGGGAACTTGAGTTTCAATAAGAAAATCACCCAACGTGAGGGGAAATGTGAAGCGTTTACAAAGCCACAAAAAGACAATAATTAACAACCTATTAATATAAACAATTCTATGCCTAGATTAAAAACGGGTGTTTCTACCATCTCTAACAAAATACGAAATCAAACAAAAATTCGCACGCTCGAAACATCAAGTGTATTAACTACAAAAGAAAGCCCTTTTCGGACAACAATCACTTCAACTCTTTGATACCCCGCCGCT